TCAGGAAGAGCTGAGTTCAAATCCTGTCTAAGACACTTGGTAGCTGCCTGACCCTAGGTAACTCACCTGCATCAGTTTTCTCTCTGTAAAAATCTGGGATAATAGCATCTACCTCACAGGGTTGTTGTGAGGATCAAACGAGCTAGCCTATATAAATGATAACTGTTATAATTAATAAAATAGAGTCATAAATGTAGGCTAGAGAAATAAGTGAAAGTTAGTTGTATTTTAATGTTTCCTTATATGAAAATATGGATTTTCCCTTTCTTTTGCCCTCCCCTTTCCCTCATCTTCCCTGGTCCTAGCCTAAGATACAGCAAAACCATATTAAGCTGCACATATTTTATCCAGGAGTCATACTTTGGGGGTGAACTGACCTTGAGTGCCAAACTGGGAAAGAAATGCTTCAGGGATGAATGCGGCTAAAGGAAGCCAAGTTTCCATCATACGGACTTTTGGAGTCTACTGAAGATTACCTAGATCAAAGAACATTCTCTCGCCTCCCTTCTCTCTCTCCTCCCCCAACTTCTACCCTGCCTTCTTCCCTTTACTCAGTCTCCAAAGGTAGACCTCCTGGAAAGCACCCCTCCTCCTCTTCAGTGGGCTAAACCTGTTCAGAGACAGCATTCAATTTTTCTTTGTACGTTTTCATCTTTTTTTTAGACTATAATATTGATTTTCTCCTTCCTCCTCACCCTTAAACTCTAGATACAACGAAACCATCCTAATTTATATTGTACTAATGTAGCATTTGTAATAATTTAGAAACAGCAATTCTTATTAGTAAAAAGTCAAACTAAGGCCTTCCCATTTTTAAAGTATTGTCAACAAGCCTAAAATAAATAATCTTTATAAACCTAAAGTAAACCATCTTTATAAGAAAGTAAGGATCCCTCCAAAAGGTCCAACATTTAATTCTTGCAGGTTAAAGAATTATACGCTTATGAAATATTATTATGCAATTTATTTATAATTTATAATATTATTTATATAATTTTATCTATTATGCAATTTATTCTACTCCCTTACCTTACTTATTAGTATTATTTATGTCTTGGATTATCATATGTAATAAACATAACAAAATGATGCAGGAAATGAGAGTATTGCATTTTATGATCTCTAAGGCTCCTTTCAGCTTTCATTATGAGCCCATTTCTTTGACGAATATGACTTTCTCCTATATCCCAGTGCTGCTATTATTCCAAATCCGTGAGGGAAACTTCTGTTTCTTTTTTATATTTCATATTTAAATTTTCTTTTACTTCGAAAGGCTTAGTGTACTGGGAAGTGTGATTTCATCCCACATTGTTTGTAATTTACTTCCCCTGAGAAACACATTCCTAATTTTAAAGGTAATGCCAATAAGAAAATTGAATTTAATATACAGACCATAGGCCATCCGATGAAGTATACCTGATCTGGCCAACATCCATTTAAGCCCTTGCCAACCTCCCATTGTGGTACCGATTTCTCCCCCCTCTTCCTTCTTTTAAAAAGGACATCATATTCCAACTAAACATAGGGCATCAAAGTAATCCAGTGTAATAACTGTAGAAGTTATCTAAGAGCTTTTATTACTTGCCAATTCAAGTGTCAACCCAAAGAAGGAACACATTGTTCTCCTTACTAGGACATGTTCCATTTTTTTGTTTGGATTGTAAGTCAATTGTCCTCAGTGCAACATGGGGTGAAAATGGTTCTGTCATTTGGGGCTCCTGGGAAGATAAAAATTGTCGCCTGGCAACTGACATGCTAATATGCACAGTCAGAAGGAGTCAGTGAAAGAGATGGAAACCTCATAGAGAGGCCAGTTGCAAGATATGGTTGAGCTGAGCCTTCAATAGCTAGATAAGGAGAAAGAAATGCTTGAAGCATGCTCTCTGAAAGCCTGAAGTGATTTTGTTTGTTTTTCCCCCTGAGCTGCCTTTCTGGCTTTAATGTGGATGTGTCTACCTAACGCCACAGTTATCAAAGGGTAGTCCAAAAGAGTCTGGGGGCAGCTAGGTGGTTATCACGGAGAGGGCACTGATCCTGTAGTCAGGAAGAACTGACTTCAAATCTGGCCTCAGATACCAGCTGTGTGACTCTGGTCAAGTCATGTAACTTGCCTGCCTCAGTTTCATCAACTGTAAAATGGGGATAATAGTAGTGCCTACTCTCCAGGGCTGTTGTGAAGATTCAATGAGACATTTGTAAAAGTAGGTGCTTCATGTATATATAACCTATGTCAGATTGCTTACCTTCTTAGGGAGGGGAATGGGTAAGAAGGGAGGGGGAAATTTGGAACTCAAAATTTAAAAAAAAAGAATGTTTAAAGTATTTTTACATTTAATTGGGGGAAAATAAAATATTATTTCAAAAGTATTTTAATAAATGCTTATTTCCTTCCATTCTTAAGGCCCTTTCAGAGGGCCTGCTAGGTCAAAACTAGTTTTGTAATAATACTAAGACATTTTAATTTCTAATACAGTAAATATTGATAGATATAATCTACATAAACAAAAGCTTATAGGGGTTCTTCAATAATTTTTAAGAGCATAAAGGACTCCAAAAATTTGAGAGCTGTTGATCTAAAGTCAAGATGGTTGATAGGTGTTCTCCCTGATTTTGACCATGTTCCAGGCCTAATTCCAAAGACCATTGACCTGAGTCTTTCCTAGAGCCAACAATTTAGGCTTTGCAGCCCATTATTTGATTCCATCCCACCATTCCAATGAGCTTTTGACTGGACTAGATGGGAGAGAGTATTAATTCATCAACTTCAAGTTGGGCAAAGTTCTTGAGGAAATGGGGGCCTCCTCCTCTAGATTCCCTCCTGAAACACCATTGATTGCCATTTCCAAATGGCATGTGTTCTATGACTTTCTATTAGAACATCTATTCCTCAATTCATATCATGGACATCAATTCTATGCTGTACTATTTCAGTGAATCCTTGATATGAATGGTGTGGGGCAACCTCCTTCACCCATGTAGATGACAACACTCAGGCCTTCTCATCCTGTGAGACTATCATCTTTAGCCATCCATAAATCCTCCTCAATGGATCAATTCAACACTCTGGATGCCTTCTTCAGGTCTAGTGTGTGTGTGTGTGTATCTAGACTTGTGATATCATCAATGTGGGCAACCCTCTCCATCTATGTAGATCAGCAACTCATCTCTAATATAGATTAGGTCACTGAGTTGCTAAGGGACTTGCCCATGGTCATATCCAGGATGTGTCAGAGGCAGAATTTGAACCCAGGTCTCCCTGAATCCAAGGCCAGACACTAAATCCAGGTTTTTCTGACTCTAAGGCCAGCCCTCTATACTGTAGTATAGTACATTATATTATTATGTGTTATAATTATTGTGTTACATATAATATTAAATGTTATATAGTACAATATATTATACTACTATATTATAATTATTATATTACCCATTATATGATATAATACAATATACTATAATATATTGCCTCAACTCTATATCATCCTTGACTTCATCATATACCTAAGATATATTAAGATGATAAATACAGAATTGAATAAAAGATTCATTACTGATGACCACAAATATAAAATTAAAAACTGATACCTTTATTTTTTTCCTCTTTTCTCTCCTATAAGCCTCATTTATTTCTTTTAAAAAATTTTCCCCTTTCTTTGTCATTTTCTCTGCTGCCTCACTCCTCTTCTGTCTTAATTCAATCCTTCAAACTTTTCTTCCTTCAAATAACTGGTTGTCTATTATTCCCCTCCTTTTTTTGGGGGGGGGGTCCTGGAGTGATTGGGAAGGTGAATGTTTTCCAGTAGAATGGTAGCTTCTTGAGTTCAGGGACTGTTTTTATCATTGTATCTCTAGAGCCTAGACACAAGACCTTGCTCATGGTAGGTGTTTAAAAAAGTTTGCTGAATCTAAATTGAATGGAATGTTGAGGGTATTTTAATTTTTAGGTGAGCCAAAGGAAATGCAAAGAACTATAGCAGACTAACCCTCTCCTTCACATTTACTATCCGTTTGGTCGTGGGTAAGAGGCATCAAGGCATACTGGATAGAGAACTAGTCTTGGAGCTAGGAAAACCTGAATTCAAGGCCCATTTCTGAACACATTACTGGCAGTTACCCTGGGCAAGTCACTTAATCTCTCTTTGCCCTAGGCAAGTGTCTGAAATGTAAATTTCAGAAGAGGTGCCATCTCACATTGGTGAAAAGGAGTTTCCTCATCCCTAGTTCCCAGTAATTAATGACATCACAGATCCAATCTCTATCTTTGAGTATAACCAAATCATTGAACTTCTCTGAATTTTAGTTTTATCAGCTGTGAAACGGGGGTAATAACGTTTACCTTACATACCATGCTACTTCATTTCTACCTCTGTGCTTTTATTCATTTTTTTATTTGCCTGGATTTGCTCTCTTTCCCCCTGTATCTACTCAAATCCTACTTTGTAGAAGTTTTAAAAACAATTCTCCAAATAAAATAACATTCTCCAGTGACAGAATGAAATAATGTGAAACTCATATGCTATTTATAGCAGGTTTTTCCCATAATTCCTTGGTTTCATCCCTTAATGAACTGAGGAAATCAGAGTTGATGAGGTTTGAGGGCATCATTTACTTCTTGCTCAGTGTGTATATGATCTGTAATCCTTCCATCGTGTTTACTAATTTGTAGCAGAGAGGATGACGATGACATGACACTATAACTCAATGTTCACATCACATGCTGTTGAACGTGCCTCAGATGACGGGTGCTCTTTGTTTTGTACTAGTGTAGAAGAAAGGCTTCCATTCAGTTGGGACGTCTGAATGGTTCGGATGGTGTTCCCCCCAAAGAATAAATGTTAAAGAAAAAATCTAACCCCAAAGCAACAAAATTAGTGATGTGAGTGAGGATAGAGGTGTCCTACTGCCAGTGCCCCAGTTTCCAGCTGTTTTGTGACCAGGCAGGACTTTGTTGGTTTCGATTTATTGATGTAGGTAGACTGGAATTGGAAATTCATGCTTACCTTTCATCACATTTGATCAGAATCACACTGTCTGTTCCAACCCCCAAGGCTGCAGCTCCCTTCTTCACTGAAAAGTGACTCTGAAAAAAGCATGTTTATGATCAGTTGTGATTTAGTATTCAGCTCGCATCTCCCTTTGTCTTCTTTTTGCTTTCAGTGTCTACTCTGAGCCATGCTATGTCCGTCTGTATCCTTGAATGACTGAGAATTTGTGACAGTTTTCAGTGAGTTTTTTTTTTTTTAGGAAATTTCCATGACCCTGGGGAAATTCAGATGACCTTTATCTCCCAACACAAGACAATGACTCCAAACAAACCTCACTTGCAAGATTTAATAATATGCTAACTGGCTCCAAGAAGTTGTATATTTCATGACTCCCCACAAAAAAAGCCAACCCCCAATTTTGCCAGTGGGAGAACCGAGTCAATTTCTAGAGACTTCAGTGAAATTGTGTGTGCTCAACCAAGGGGAAAGTTTGGCCTTAAGCATAACATATATCATCCCTAGTACCATTAGAGGGGCCAGTCACTTCACAAGTGACTTCTCAGATGAAGGGACCTTTCACCAGTCTAGAAAATGGGGTTGGGAAAAGGCACGAATTTATAGGCTACAGCAGAAAGTGGACAAAGTGAAAGCCACTGATGCTAAAGACCAAATTTTGAATGAGTTTTGGCTTGTGACTCAGAATCTGATTTTTTATTCAAATGGCTGCAATCATCCCACAATTTGTAGAGCCTAGAAAGGCTAACTCAAGCCTAGCTGTAATGCATCTGCCTATCAGCCTTTCACTATTAACTACAGATCATTAAGCTGTCCAAAAGAAGAGCTGCTTGCCCAATTTAAATCCTCATGGTGTTCCTGACTGGAATTTTAAGTTACAATTTCAAGAGGTGTACTCATTCTTCCTCATGCCTACATTTAGCTCTGAGAACGTCTGGCTATGCTGTTCAAGGTAGGCTGTCATTGCTAAGTCTTGAATTTAACAAACCAGAAAAAAAATCACATTTCCACCATACTTGGCAGTAGTGAGGAAAGCAAACCAGAATAAAAAAGGCAAATACTGTCATTAAAAAGCACTATTTAGTGGAACAAGAGTGATAAAGAGGACTATTACTCCCAGTTTTAAGCCCTTAGAGCCAGGCAGATATTATCAAAATACACGGGAACTCAAGAGAAAGAAAATAAAGCAAAACAAAACAAAAAGCAAAGCTTAATTGTCCGGGGTTTTAGGCATCTTTTCCAAAAAGTATTCTTTATATTGAATCACATCTGTTAATTTAATTTATGTTTATTTATAGCTGATGTCTTAACAGAGCATGTTTTGACCCAGAAAGCAAAGCACCAAAGAAAAAAAATTTGCCCATAATATGCTAATAATAGGGAAAGTACATAGAAAATACATATCAAAGTACATAGAAAATACATAGGGAAAATACATAGAAAGTACAGATGCACTCTAGCAAGAATGAACGTCTTGGATAATTCACCTCGATGCCAAGGCTTGAAAATATTAAACTGTAAAATAGCCAATTGATGATAAAGAAGAGATCTAGTGCACCTGGTCAATGGGAGGAAGAATTTTAATCTACTCTCTAATAAGGATAAATGGGGGGCTCTCAAATGAGGAGCAATTACTCAGCATAATTGATCATTGTGCAGAATAATACAAAGTGAAGGAAATACACTTGGAAAAACAGAAAGCTCAGAGGTGGGGAAAAAGTACTAGTGTTGGAAATGGACAAAGGAGAAAGCAGAAAAGAAAACAGAGAAGGAAATATTCAGCATTGGCTCAAATTTTCAGTAAGGGAAAGAAAAAAAAGGACAGAGTTATTGAAAGTCATTTAGAGGAATGAGAGCCTTTTGTTAATGTTCTATGAATAAAAGTATATTACAGCGGTCTCAGAGGATTAACCAACAAGGAAAAGCCAAACCATACAGGCAACAGAATAGCCTAGCTCTTTCTCCTTTGTTCTTACCACACCTGGAATTTTGTATTTTAGTCTAGGTGTGACTTTTTAAAAGAGGCATTGATCAACAAGAGTGTGTCAAGAAAAGGGAAGCCATGTTGGTGAAGAGTCACTAAGAAATGGTTGAAGGAACTAAGACTATTTAACCCAGAGGAGAGAATCCTATGGAGAAACATGCTGGTTGACTTCAATATTTGAAAGGGTAGTATATGAAGGAACAAGCAGATTCGTTCTATGGCGCTCTAGAGGGCAGAACTGTCGATAGATGGACCTTTCCAACAACTAGAGCTATACAGTAATGGACCAGAATGTCTACTGGGTGTGAGCTCCCAATAAGTTTTTTATAGAACTGAATTTAGAGTCAAAGGTCTTGAGCTAGAACCCTGACTGCCATTTACCTGTGTGTCCTTGGGTAGATCATTTAATCTCTCTGGGCCCCATTTTCCTTCTCTGTAAAATTAATAGGTTGGACTAAGCTTTCCTTCTCTAAAATTATGATCTATTCCTTTTTCCCCTGTTCTAACCATATCTCTGATTAATGATATGAAACCCATTTTATTTTCAAATAACAGTTTATACTATCTAGAAAATGGAGGCTTAATAATGACTAATTTCTATGATTTAAAAGAAGATTCTTTTGGAAACCTGGATACAGAAAAACCTGGATATGGTACTTGGTATAAGTTTAAATTCCATACCGTGAGGTCATAACGGCTGTGAATATTGTATACTGATAGTAAAGCACATAATTCCATTTTAGCGGCTTGAGGAAGATAAGGAAAAGAGTGAGTACTTGCCAACTTAGTATAGTTGAGGGCACTGTTGCTGAGGAGGAAAGATGGAATAAGATGACCTCTTAGGTCCCATTCAGCCTGATGGCCTGAGAGTGCAGAGCCTGTTTCTCATCCATTTAATGGGGATAATAAATCTTCTCTCTCTTCTGAGTACAGTAGTGGAGTAGGTCAGATTTGTAGAGAGCTCAGAGAGAAACCATATTGAACCAGATTCTCCTGGTATGTCTGCTTCTCTGGCCAGGCTGTAATTTAGGCACTTTTGAAAGCTGCATTAACTGTTTAAAGCCACCATTTAGACCAGAGATTTTAAACCTGGGGTCTATGAACTTTAATAAAAATGTTTTGATAACTGTATTTCAGCATATTGGTTTCTTTTGTAATCCTATGTATTTTCTTTTGTGCATTTAAGAATATTACCCTGAGAAAGGGTCTGTAGATGTCACCAGACTGTCAAAGGGATCTTTGACACAAAAAAAGATTAAGAAGTCCTGGTTCAGACCGAGGCTTTTGGTGATCAATTGGTCAGTCTTGAAGCCTGAATTGTCTGGTTTGGGGACTGAGATCTCCTTCCCAGGGTTTTTAGGGTTAACCACTCCTCAATTCTCAAATGCTTAATGATTTCAATGTCAACACTTATCTCCTGACTGACTTGTAAGGTCAATTCTCCCCTTTCTTTCCCCGGTGACTTTCAGGTCAAAATTACCTCCCGCTTTTCCTTCTCCCATACCTTCCTTCTCCTTCCAGCCCTGAAAATTTTTTAGTACTTTTGGGAAAATGAAAAATAGTTGCCCCTGTGGGAAAAGTTAGCAACACCAATTTAGATAAATTATAGTTTCAATTCACTAAACAGTCCTCCTATGAACTAAGCAAGTCATTGAGGCATCCTAAACTGCATGATTTGCAACTGGAGTGAATCTTACACCCTGGAGGGTCTGGCTCATTAAGTTCTAATTATTGTGATTCAAAAAGAATATAACTGGTCATGTTCCCAAAGAGATCAAAATAATTCAGAATAGACACAACACTAAGAAAGAAGGAAGCAAGGCATGGCTGTGAAACTACTCTTGGTCTTTATGCTCAAGATCAATTAGCAACCTGCTGTCACCCGCTGGGGTTTGTGTCCTAAATATCTGTTAGAGCAAAAGACAACTTTGACCTAGGCTTCTCACCTCTATATGATTTAAAACTAGAGCCAATGCTCATGAGGGGACTGGCCAACAAGTTGCAGTGGAAAGGAGGCTTGATTTAAAGTCAGTGGAGGTGGGTGCAAGTCCCAGCTCTGACATTTGCTATTGACAAATCACTTCTGCCGCTTGGGCCTCAGTGTCCTCATTTGTAAAATAAAGGGGTTGGTGTAGATATATTTCGTGACAGCGTTAAGTCTCTGATTCATGGCCTATTGGATTGTGGTAAGCACAGTAATGGAAGAGCAATCTATCCTAAGTCCAGGAGTGTGTTGGTGCCTGCTCAAACTCAGAGAGCCAATTCTTAAATTTGGAGAGTGAGCATTCACATCATGGAAACTGACAAATGCTACAAACTGGAGTTTAATGTATTCATTTTGTTGAATGTCCAGATAGAAGAAGGTAATAGGGAAAATGTTAACAATGCAGGATAAACTTAAAAGTGTGTATTGAGTACAGTCCTTGTACCCCAAGAGACCCTTGTTAAATATTTAACAGTGCTCCCTTGTCTAAATTCTGCATTTAAAGTTATACGCCTTTGAAATTCCTATTAAAATTAAAATTTTATGTGGGTGAGGTAACAATAAGTCATGTCAGTCATATACACCTTACTGGGAAGGAAGTTCAGAGAAATTTTCTGAGAAAAAACTTTAATAGTAGGGAAAGGGTGGAGGAGAGGAAAGGAAAGGAACATTCAAATGCTGGGTACTTGGGGGTGGAAAAGGGAAAAAAACACCCCTGGGAGAGGGTACCCAAGATTAGGCAGCTCTACTCCCAACTCTAACTAGCTATGTAACTGTGAGCAAGTTCTTCTTCTCCATGCCTCAGTTTTTCACTTAACATACTGAGGGTTAAGAGTCTCTAGGATCCTTTCCAGCTCTGAAGTTATACAGCTAAATAAATTTCAATGAATTTACATATTTCAGAGCTCAATGGAACTGCCATTCTTTTCTGGTTTCAGAGATTTTATACCTGTGCACACGTGGTTTCAGAATCAAAACTCTTTTAGAGTATCATCTCCTGAGAATGTTTTTTCTAAGGCAAAAGATACCCCAAGAAAGCATTAGTGATCATCTCCCTTCACCCCCTGTCCCTCCAAACTCCGGCCCTCCCCCTCCCCCCCACTCCCATGAAA